TTTTGGACTTGAATATCACACAAATATTTTGTGTAAGATGGCTCTTCCAGCATTTTTTTGTTAGCTATCTAGCTATTTATTTCTGTATGCATGTTCATTTTCATTCACTGAAGGCCAGTGGTTCCCATCCCAATCCTCAGAGAACACCAAGTAATGAGATTTTGACAGTATTCCAGCGAAATGCCTAAATCCTGGACTCCCAGTCCCAGTGTGCCTCTAGAACCTGATTTGGAATCACTGCTGTACAGTAATCCCCCATCACCAAATCGCTTTGTTCCCAATATGTTTTAGAAGTAGCTAGGTGGGTACGCTGTATGAGCATCTTTGCCAAAACACAGCAGTATTCTCCTAAAATTCTCTGCCAGGTCTGGGGCTGGTGAGTTATGAGATCTGGATAGAATGTCAATATTGAGAATTGTATTGGGTAATTCTGGCAGGTACTGTTTGATAGCTGCATCCCCTTTATTGCCAGATGTTACAAAGTTTTATTGTTTGACGTTGTTTCCATTTTATACTGTCTTGCTGTGCTACCATTTCTGGTTTTCGGAAGTAATAATTGTGGTTAATATTGTGGTGGGTGACTGCTGCTTGTTTTACTCCCTGTCTGGGAGTTTAAATCAAAGCATGGTTTATTCTGGCAGTTGATAGCCGATAGTCACCGCCTCTCTGTTGGTGGATGACCTGCTCATGATCTTCTCAGTTGATGGTGGGCACCAGTTGACGTGCTTTGTCTGTGGACAAAGTGAGATATCCCAACCTGACTGCTACTTAAAGAATTTCTGGCAGTTGCTGGTGAATAAATATTACCCCATTTTCATTGAATATTGGTTAAAAGCCTTAAAGTTTATTCTATGGGAAAACTACATCTTATCTCCTGGTCAAGGCTGGTGAAAAAGCAGGTGGAGTTTACGACCGGTTTTGTAAGAACAGAACCTGGTCGGTAAGGGAGGAATAACAAAAGTTTATAGGCGCTCTTCTATAATACGACAAATAAATGAGGGCTGCTGTATACAGTACAATGATTCCCAAAACCTTGTGTAATAGTGAAACAGAGATAGGTTCATAGGCATGCGCAGCCTGTTGCATTAGGGTGTGCACCCTAAAGCACAAGCACACGCCGTGTATATATATGAATGTATGTATATACATAGTGTAGTGTGTAGTGTGCTATGTGGGTGAGGGTGTTTGTGTGTGTGTGCGCTTGTGAGGGTGCTGTTAATGTACTGTGTGTGAGGGTGCTGTTTGTGTTTGTGAAGGTACTGTTAGTGTGCTGTGTGTGTGTGTGAGGGTGCTGTTTGTGTGCTGTGTGTGTTTGTGAGGGTTCTGTATGTGTGTGGGTGCTGTCAGTGGTGTATCCTGGTTTTGTGCTGCCCTGGTCAGGACAAAACTCAGGCACCCCCCTGCGCCACCCCCACCCAACCCTTCCCCCCGCCCCACCTTCTAAATACACACATACACAAACAGTCAGACACACACCACAGTCAGACACACAGTCAGACACAAACACACACACAGACACAAACACACACACAGACACACACACAGACACAGTCAGATACACACACACACAGTCAGACAGTCAGGCACACACACAGTCAGACACAAACACACATACAGTCACAAACACACACACACAGTCAGACACAAACACACACACACACAGTCAGACACAAACACACACACACAGTCAGACACAGACACAAACACACACACACACACACACACGGGCACAAACACGCACACACACACAGACACAGGCACACGGTCGGGCCTGCAAGCACACGCACAGACACAAACACACACGCACGGTCGGGCACAGAGCACACACACACAGACGCAAACTTACACACACACACGGTCAGTTGGTCAGACACACACAGAGTCAGACACAAACACACACACACACAGTCAGACACAAACACACACACACAGTCAGACACAGACACAAACACACACACACACACACAGACACAAACACACACAGTCAGACAAAAACACACACACGCAGACACAAACACACACACACAGTCAGACACACACACACACACACTCACATAAAAAAAATGTTTTCTTTTTATTTAACCCCCCCCCCCAGCCTCCTTACCTTTGGGAGTGCTGGGGGGGGTCTCTCTCTCCCTGGTGGTCCAGTGGCTGCCGGTCGGGCTGGGCGGCGCTGGCAGGCGGGCGGCTGGCGAGGGAGCTCTTCCTCTGAGCGGTCTGCTCAGCTCCCTTGCGCGCCGCACAGTGAGGCTGGGAGCCGGAAGATGACGTCATCTTCCGGCTCCCAGCCTCACTCTGCGGCGCGTGAGGGAGCTGAGCGGACCGCTCAGAGGAAGAGCTCCCTCACCAGCCGCCCGCCCGCTCGGGCATGTCTGTTAGCCGCAAGGCTAACAAGGCATTTGCCCTGGGCATTTGGGGGCGGCGTTTTTTGCCGCCCCCTGGAAAATGCCGCCCAAGGCAAATGCCTTGTTTGCCTCGCGGCTAATACGCCCCTGGGTGCTGTATGTGTGTGTGTGGGTGCTGTGTGGGTGGGTGCTGTGTGGGTGCTGTGTGTGTGTGGGTGATGTTTGTTCTGTTTGTGTGCTGTATGTGTGAGGATGCTGTGTGTGTGGGTGATCTTTGTTTGCTGTATGTGTGTGGGTGCTGTGTGTGTGTGTGGGTGCTGGGTGTACTGTGTGTGTGCTGTATGTGTGTGGGTGCTGTGTGTGGGTGCTGTGTGTGTGTGGGTGATCTTTGTTTGCTGTATGTGTGTGGGTGCTGTGTGTGTGTGGGGATGCTGTGTGTGTGTGGGTGATCTTTGTTGGCTGTGTGTGTGTGGGTGCTGT